AGGAACAGGCAGGCGATCGACGCCTGGGGGGGCGCGCGCACCTCGCCCGCCTACGCTGCGCTACGGCAGGTTCGTGCCGTGCCGACTTCGGCGTTGGTTTCTGACACCGCGGGGATCGTTCAACCTTGAACGATCGGCCGCTTCCGAAACGTCCATTTCGTTCCACATCGAACGATTCTGGGTCGCCCGCGGCGTTCAAAATTGAACGCCGCTGGCGGGGTCGCCGCCGGTCGACACGACACGAACCTACCGTACGCTGAGCCAGACGCCTAAGCGCGTGGGCGAGACTTGGAGCCCAGACATCAGCAACCTGATGGACTGCACCACCGCAAGAGCGGCCACTACCGACTCGAGAACACCCGACTCCAGCACCGGCGGACACAGTCACGCAAGAAAAACAACAAACACAACAACCCCGGGATGATTTCTCCTAACGCGACACCGTTGCCCGGATAACAATCGGAAGACCCATGCATGCTGTTGCGCCCAGGCCACATACATGCTGCCGCGCCCTAACCACATACATCATGTTGCGGCCCAAAAGCATAAATCGATCGCTTTTTGAGAAGCCGCGGGGAGGCCGCAAACGTGTGTGGGGGGGTTCGCGCACGAGCCAGAAACAGTAAATTTCCAGAGAGCAATCACAATCAAACTCGACAACTTCTGGAAAAGCCCCCCAACAGCGTCAGAAATTTCAAAAATGACAAGATCCTGCGGGGGGGACCCCCTTGGGTCATCCACCCCGTGAATGAAACTGTACCCAGGTCAATGGATGGAGACTCGTTTGGCGCGTGTCGCCTGAAAGGACCTCAGGATTTGCCTGGTTTTGGCCCCCGATTCGGCCTGGTCTGGCTTGGTCTGCCTGGGCGCCCCGCCTGAAACATGCTCTGCATTTGCCTGGTTTGTGCCTTGGTTTGGCCTGGTTTGGGGTAAACTTCGCCTGATCTGTCCTCTCAGAGTGCTGGATTTGTCTTGATTTCGGGGCGGTTTCGCCAGATATGTTCTCACAAGCTGTCTGGTTTGGTTTGTTCTGGTGCGGTTTCGCCTGAGGCTTGCTCACAGGTTCTTTGGCGTGGCCTTGCTTGGGTACGGTTTCGACTGAAACGTTCTCGCGATTTGCCTGGTTTGGTTGCGGTTTCGCTTGGAACGTCCTCACATTATGTTCGATGATTTGTGGTGATTTGGGGTGGGTTTCGCCTATATCGCCATCATACATGGCGTCGGGCGGCATCTCGCTTCAGAAGTCGTCCATCTGAGTCTCGCAATGAAAGCTACGTGGTGCCAGTTATACGGTGTGAGCTATGTGGTGCAAGCCCGCATCATCGCAACATGTTAGGTGCAAACTATGTCGGGCAAGATGCGAAGCACCAATTATGCGGAATACGCTATGTGGTGCAAACCGACGGCGTAGCAGGCTATGTGGTGTAAGGTATGTGGTGCGGTATAAGGTGTGTGGTGCAAACCCACATCGTCGTAAGATCTACGGTGCAAGCTATGTGGCGCAAAGGATGTTGTGGAAGCTAGGTGGTGCAAGCAAAACATACATCGTCGCAAACTATACGCTTTCAGCTGTATGGTGCAAAGTATGTGACGGAAGAAATGTAGTGTAAGCTATGAGGTGCAAGCCCACGCCTTCTGGCCCTCGGTAACCATGGGCCTAATGCAAACTGGAGTTGGTCCAGTGTCCGGCGTTGGGAGAACACTCTCCCGAAGCTGCAGGATGCAACAACAGCGATTCATGATCTTCGTATCAACATGATTGGGCTCCCCCATTCGACTTCGACAGGATTAGATATCACTTACTCCACGGATTATACTCTCAAGACCGTCAAGACAGACACGAACGCCTGGACGACCTATACCACGAGTACGTCTTCGAGCTGAAAGAAACAAGCAACAATTTCCTCGCGAAGACATTTCCATCGGCAAAGTGCTACCTTGCCTCGAGCGGTGTCTGGACGGCCACTGCCACCGATGTCTCGCTTCCGAAGCCTTGGAGAAATGAGACATTCTTCTGGATGAACGTTCGGGACAACACCTACTATCGCGTTGACTCTGAGACGGACAACCTGACGCCAGAGATGATTCGCTTCGAGGCTGACATCCTCAAGGCTAACTGGGCAGAATTGGCCGACTTCGTACATCACGACTTCTTCAACACGCAGGAGCCCAACTACTCTGTCAAATCGCCCATCAGGCGCGTCTTGGTTTGCAAGTGGAAGCGGAAGCAAGCACCAGACGGCACCTCTCCAGGAGTCATCAAGAGCAGACTCTGTTGTCATGCTGTTTGTCACCTCGAGATGCCCGCCACATCTTAAGTACAGCGCGACAGGGACCATATTCTCTCAAAAGCTTCCTGTCAGCGGTGCAGCAAACAATGACAGGAACATCGAGGAGTGGGACGTCGGCAATGTATTCCTCCCGGGCTCGAATTTCGAACAAGTGCTAGAAGCATGCAGGTCCCTTAGGGTGCGCATGCCAATTCCCAAGAGATAGCCCATCTTTGAGGTATCATATTTCATGGAGACGACTCTTCAGGTTGACGACGCCACTCCTCAACTTGACGACGCCAGCGTTTCCAGACAGAAGGCCCACCAGCTGTCTGGGCGGAAGTGTCCAACGAGTTCTCTATTTCATCCTCCCAAACTCTCTTTCCCTTCGTGGAGGGGTACACCCTGCGAAATGCTTAAGAAATCATGGGTTGAGAAATTCATAGTCTCAGAACTTGAATAAAAACCCAACGTTTCCATTAAAAGCTTAAGATTTACATTGAAACGTTAAGAATAATCGAGACTCTTGCCAAAATCTTAAGTTTTCTTAAGCATCGCCTAAGGTGTACCCCGCTCCCCGAGTTGCAGCAGCCTGCCGAGTGACTCCTTTCCGATCGCACCGCCCAGCGTGTTCCTCGGAAGGACCGGCAGGGAGGCGGAGGAGGATTTGGCGGCGCGCAAAAGGGGGCAGGGGGAGGGGGGAAGGCTTCTTAGAAGCACCCTGCTTCTTAGAGGGCCTCGGCCTCACGTCTACAGAGAAGGCCCGCGCCCTCTAAGGAGCAGGGGTGCTTCTGAGGAGCCTTCCCCCCTCCCCCTACCCCCCGTCTGCGCGCCGCCAAAGGATAAGGAAGAGGCGGAAGACGAGGATGAGGAAGGGGCGGAGCAGAGCTGAAGCGAGCACGGCGGGAGGCGCAATTGTCTCGACCAGGCAGAAGTCCCAGCTGAACATGGTGTGCTTCGGCGCGCGGGCCGCGGCCGGAGGAACCCCTGCCAACCACCCGTCGTCCTCCTGACCTCATCCTACCTCCCCCCCTCCCCCCTCCCCCTCCCTTTCCCTACCCGACGCCCTCCCTCTTCCTCTCCTCACATGCCCTCCCTCTCTCCCTTCCCCCCTCCTTTCCGTGCCCTCTGCTTCCTGCCTTTTCATCCCCCTTCCCTCTCTTGATACCCTTCGCCTCCTTCTCTCCTTCCTTTCCTCTGTTTCCCTCTCCTTCTGCCCCCCCCTCCCTTCCGTCCTTCCGTAGCTTTGGGGTGGGCGGGTGAAAAACTAGAATAACAAAAGCCACATAAACATTAACTTTCGGCGTGCTCATCTGAAACACGAGCCCCCGCCCTCTGGCCCCTCCCCCTCAGGAGGAGGAGGGGGGGGAGGAGGAGAGGAAGGAGGAGGCGGAGGAAGAGGAGGAGGAGGAGGAGGAGGAGGAAGAAGAGGATGAGGAGGAGGAGGAGGAGGAGGGAGGAGGAGGAGGAGGAGGAGGAGGAGGGGGAGGAGGAGGAGGAGGAGGAGGAGGAGGAGGAGGAGGAGGAGGAGGAGGAGGAGGAGAGGAGGGCGGAGGCGGAGGCGGAGGCGGAGGCGGAGGAGGAGGAGGAGGAGGAGGAGGAGGAGGAGGAGGAGGAGGAGGAGGAGTAGGAGTAGGAGTAGGAGTAGGAGCCGTGGGACGCCGTGTCCCGCCCTACGCCTACGAGGAGGCCCCACCACCCGCGGCCCGCCCCGAGGGCCTCGAGGCCGTCCCAGCGAAGGCCCTCTGTGCCAACGCAACGGCTTTGGGGGCTCCTTGGGGGCACGGGTGGCGGCCTCTCGAATTTGGGGAAAGGTTCTCTTTACCCTTCCGCGTGAGCTGGCAGACCTGATTGAAACGGCGGAAATCCGTGGACGCCGTTTTGCCACAAACGGAGCAGAAGCACAGGGAAAACTCAAACCATTTGTGCATCACGTGCGACCCATGGATCTGCACCGTGCCAGAGAAAATCGGGCCCTGGACCGCCGACACGCCCGAGGGAAAACGGCCCCCTCCAGGAACACAGGGGGTGTTGGCGGCCTCCAGGACCTGAGCCGAGGGCACGATTCGGCGGCACGACGTGCAAGCCCATCGCCCATGGATCCGAGTCCACGAGTGGGGGCTCCGTGCAAGGGTGAGCTGGAGGCGAGACTGAGCAGGAGGGCGGACGCGCTCGACACGCTTCGAATTCCACGGATCCTGGGAAATCGATTCCGTGAGCGCCCGACGGGCCCGACGCCTCACGAGCGCCGCGATCGCATCCCACTCGTCGGTGCGAGGCGCATCACCGATCATGCATCGGCTCGACCGCGCAGCCGCCGCCCCAGCCTCCTTATCAGCACATATGTTTCCAGCAGCAACATACTGGAGGCCCTCATTCACAATCCGCTCAGGGTCCTCATCCAGGTGACTCGGGACCCAAACCACATCTATGTCACTGCTACTGCTACCTCGCTTGACCAACGCCTGCTTCAAGCGGACCCAAAGATCTCCATTACTGCCTATACACGAGGTGTGACGGCCAGCACTCCAACCGTCCAGCAAAGACCTGCAATCAGTGTGAAAACGTTTTTTTCCGGTCGAGCTCTCGAGGCACAGAACAAGAGCGAGCAACTCGGCTCTAGGTACAGTTTGCCTGCGCCCGCGGATCCCGCCAGAGACGATGGCGGCAGGCGACCGCGAATCTCCATCAGGCCGAAGAGCGACAGCAGCAGCTCCGATTCGGCGTCGCCGAGGATCGGCTGCGTGCGGGCCGCCCGAGCCGTCGCCGAAAACGTCGAGCACCTCCTCGCCCTCGATCCTGCAATTGTCGAACGGCTCGCCCTGGTGCTCGACCCAGTCCGCCTGGCACTCGTCGAAGACGGGCGTGGTGAGGTCGGAGGGGCAGACGCCCCGCAACCACAAGGCGGGGTCTTGCTCCCAGCCCACCCTCGCACGCACAGTCAAGCATTCGCTGGCGTCAAAATCTGCATGGCCCGTGTTGCACGGGCAACTCCGAATTCGATGGAATAATGTTTCCTTCTCAGTGCCACAGCGCTGGCAAGTCACCTCCGAATCGTATCCTGCCTGCTGCTGGCGCTCCCTCGCCCGCTGGCCGCCGCTGACGATGACGACCGTCTGCGCCCGCTGGTCGAGCGCACCTGCGGCCATGAAGCGCCCCAACTCCCGCTGCGCGTGCATCATGTCGGCGCCGTTGCAGAGGCTGTCGCCTGCGGGATGTAGAGCAGCCCGCTGCCACATGCCTCGCGAAGTCCGCCATGAAGTCGTCCAGGAGCCCGGACGCGTCGGCGACAGCGAAGCACTCCGCGTCGGGGCCAGGGATGATCCACTCGTCGACCGCGTTGGGCCCAGTCAGGCGGGCCCAGCGCCGGGGCGACTCGGGCCGCCACCCGGTGTCCAGGATCACCGCGATCACAGCAGCAGCTGGCCCGCGGACACGCCGCCAGCGATGCGGCCCTGCCTGCGACAGGGCCTTGAGCAGGCGGGGCCAGGCGCGGCGTGCCCGACCGTGGACCTCAGGCCAGGTGCGCCAGAGCTCGAACCACTGGCTGACGACCTGCCTCCGAAGCTCCAGCCCTGGGTCGCGCTGCCCATACAAGGCCGCCAAGGTCGACGTGAGGCACCTGCCGGGGCCCTTGCCGACAGCCGAGGCAGCGGCACCTCGGCGCAGCGCCAGGGGCGGGGAGGGCGCGAGGCCAGCGACCTGGCGGCCGTACGTCGCCTGAGGTTGCGCCCCCGTCGCCCACAGCATCTTCGTGATCTTGGCCATGCGGACCTCCCTGCGCATGCGGAGAATCCTGCCCAGCCGACCCTTGGCAGCCTGGAAGCGCTTCTGGGCGCGCTTCCTGCACCGACGGCGCCCGCAGGTCGTGTCGACGCCGAGGTCCACCGCGTGCGCCGCGCACGAGGCAGGCACACCAAGCCGCACCAGGCCGCCAGCGATGGTCCGCCCCGGCTGGGGGTGCGAGCGCGCCAGCACAGTCTTGGTGGAGACCTCGAAGCCAGCCTCGTCGAGCCCCTGCTTGAGCGCAACCGCGGCCTGGTAGATGTCGGCCTTGACTGACTGCCTCGCGCCAACTGAACGGATGACCGCGTCGTCGATGAACGTCCACAGCTGCGCACGCTCGCACGCACGATGCGCGCGAGCAATCACAGGCCCTAGCATGACCTTGGTTAGCTTTCCGCCGTTGCCTGAGACCGCCGCAACTGACCGCTCGGGCTGCAGTCGGCGCCCAAGCCAGGCACGCTGGCGCAAGTGGCGGGGCCCTGCGTACAGCTGCACCTCCATCGCGGCCACGATCGCGGGAAACCCCTGCTGCGTAGCAACAGCGAGCAGGTGCACGAAGGAGACTGAGTCGTAAAACTTTTTGATGTCGAGGAGGAGGGTCGCGGTGAACCACCCATTCTCCACGTCGCACTCGCCCATGCAGGCGCGGCACACCGCGGCCCGCGGGGCGGGGGATTCGCGCGCCGCGGTGTCCCACCACAGGGCCTGGGCGTCGCTCCACTCGTCGGTGGCAGCAGCTCGCACCTTCGCCCAGACCTTGCAGGTGGTCGGCAGCGTGCCGATGATGCGGTCCCCTCCACCACGCTTGGGGATGGCGGCTCCAATGACCGCCGATAGCTGCCACGGCCAGACCCCAGAAGCCTCGCGCACATTGAGGAGCGCGGCGAGGCCGTCGAAGCCGTCCTCGGGCATGCGCTGCAGGTCGGCGGGGCTCAAGTTGTCAATGCCGCGCGCCTTGCCCGAACTCATGCGGCGCATGGCCGTGCGCACCTGGTCGGGCGTGATCGGGTCCAGGCCGTCGTCAGCAGCGCGTCGGAGAGTGTCGTTGAGGGCCTCGACAAGGTCGGCCTCGTCGTACGTCGGGTCCTTCCACACCCGCTCCCAATGCAAGGTCTTCTGCTCCAGGATGGCGTCGGGTTGGGCGATGGACCTCGCCGCGACATCTCCGTCGGCGTCCCTGGCGAGGCCGTAGGTCTCCAGCTGCTCGGCCGCGGGCTCCCTGACATGACGGTGGACAATGCCTGGCCCCCGCTGCCGCGCCTCGTTGGCCCAGCGGATGTGCCCAAGGCGGGCGCGGTGAAGGCTGCGGCCGTGGAGGCGGCGGCACCGCTGCTCGGTGCAGGCAAGCAGCCTCTGCGCATCATCCAAGTTCGGCATTTCCTGCTGCAAGAAAATGCCAGCGCGAAGGCGACAGTCTTGCGCATCCTCCTGCAAAGACTGGCCGAAGTACACATGATGGTCGTTCTCTCCCTCCCGAGCTCGTAACAAGGGAGTAGCTCGTGCGACGCGCTCGCGCTGCTGCGGCGGGTCGGACCCGTTAGTCAGCAGCGCGACGAGGCGGACCAACAACGTGCTCAGCGTCTGCCAACCCTCCAGCACGGGGTCCAGCAGGTGAGCGCGGCCAGGGGTGCTCTTTCATCCTGCGCTCCTCGATGCGATAGCCCTGACAACATTCCGCATGGTGTCTGCACTACGACCTGCGACCTGCTCCGTCTGGATCAGCGCCTCCTCAAGGTTGCCGACCCACTGCGCATGCATCTGCGAGACGTGGTCGGTGGGGAGCGGCACTCGCGCGAACAGGAAATGGTCCTGGTCGGCGGGCCGCTGGCTGCTTGGCTTCCAAGCCTGCATGGCGGCGGCGCACCTGGGCCACGTCTCGGAGCTCACTAGGTATTCAATGTCAGCTGGCGCGCCGTCATCTCGGCCGCGAGCCTCGGTGGCGAGCGGCAAGGCCGACTTCACCTCCGTCATCGGACTGCTGCTAGGGACTGGGTCGTGCTCAGGAGGCCCCGCGAAGCCAGCGTCGTCCTCGTCTGCCAGCACGCCCATGGGATCCACATCGTCATCCATGGACGTGCGCCGCACCGCCGCAGGGGCGGTTGCCGCGGAGAGCGCGTCTCCGCAGCACTGGTCAGAACTCCAGGTGCCACCTCCAGCACTGCGCCACCTTCCAGTCCACGGAGCCGTGTAGTCGGGCAGCGGGAAGGGGGCGTGCCCGAGGTCGTCTTCCCCAGCTGGCCCGCCAGGCTCGTCGGCCCCCGCAAGGAGCGTGTCGTGGGAGTCCCGCAGCTCCTCTGGCAGCGCCTCGCGGCGCTTGCTGGCCTGCGCCGCAAGCTTGCGCCGCCTGCGGCTGCTGGGATCAGCGGCGACCTTCGGCGGGCAGCGGAGGGGCGGCGCAGAAGGCAGCGCCGGCGCCTGGTGGTACCAGCGGCGGTTGCTGGAAGTGAGCTCGATGACCAGCCCGCAGTGCGTGCGCCACGGCACGTTGGGCTCCGCCACCACCTTGACGTGCTCGGCGTAGCCCGACGAGGCGAGCACGTAGCCGTACACTTGCCCTTGCCCTTGTCGCAAGTGGCGCGCACGTTCCCTGGCGCAATGACGGTGGCGCCGAGCCGCTGCAGCCATTCAGTCTCGCCCCAGTCGGTCGGCTCAACGTTCCAGTCGCCAGCGATCACGAAGGGGTCCTTCGCGAGCGAGAGGAAGGCCGCCAAGGGGGCGAGCCGCTGCTGGTTGGCTCCGCGAAACCGAAGCCCAGGCACCAGATACGCCACCACGACGAGGACGTTGCCTTGCAGCAGGTGCCACACCATCGGGACAAAGCCGAAGAAGGGAGGCGGCCGGCCAGCCGCCTGGCACGCGCGTCGGAGCCCTTCGAAGGTGGTGGCAGCCAACGTCTTCTTGATCGCCAGCATCTCGCCGCCTGCGACGCCGTCCAGGGGCCGACCTGAAGGGGTGCCAGGCGTGACCGCGACATTCCAGTTGCCCTTCTGGAGGTCGAGTTGCTGCTGCTCGGCGGCAGCAGGTGACGTGTGGGTCTCGCAGAAGCCCACGACGTCGAAGCCCGAGCCGTGTTCCTCCAGGAACTTGCGGGCGGTCGGGCCGTGCTGTGTGCTATTCCCGAAGAACATTCTGGCCTTAGTACGGGCTGGTCCCGTTCCTGACATCACGCCGTAGCCGTCCTGCAGCCGCTGCTTTGTCGCGGAGCCGCTGCGCGGTGTCGGCACAACTTCCAGCTGGTGCCGCTCCCATGGCGACGTCAGCTGGCAGGCCCCCAGGCTGCCCTCCATCAGCGGCCGCGGGGGGCTGGCCTCCAGGAGGGACGGCAGGAGGAGTGCCAGGAGCAGCCACAGCAACCTGCGCAGGGGGCGCAGCGGGCAGAGCAGCGGTGAGCTTCTGCAAAGCTTCCTTGTTCTGCTGCGCCACGGCGTGCCCCGTGTCGGACGGCTTGTTGCCCGCCGCCAGCTGGGCCAACTGGTCCTCGCAGGTGGCCGCGAGCTGGTTGACGAGGCCTGCCAGCTTCCCGAAGTCGTCCCACGTCGACGCCGAAACGGGAGGTCCCGCCTGGTCACCAGCTGCGGTATCTGCGGCGTCCTGCTTGGCTTGCTCCAGGTCGCCGCGAGCCGCGACGAGCTGCGCCTCGGCCGCTTCGAGCTCCTCTGCAGCCTCTTGAGCAGCCTGACGCGCCCGCTCGAGGCGCTGGGTCGCCTGGAGGGCCACGCGCTGGGCCTTGACCACGGGCTGCGGCAGGTCCTTGCCGCGGGGATCTTCCATGCCAGCGGCGCGAAGGCGGCGCCGATGCACGATCCTGTCGCGCAAGGACTGGCCCAGAACGGACGCGAGCTGCGCGAACTTCTCGTCCTCCATGGCAACCCAGCGCTCCAGCTGCTGGTCGTCGAGCACGGCCGCCGCCGGCGGGGCGGCGGGCTGGCGACCACCGCCTGGCCCACGCGGCTGCGACGGGCCGTCACGCCAAGGCGGCGCGGCGGCCTTGCCTGGGCCCCAGGCCCATGCCCCGCGCGGGGTGCCGCGGCGCCCAGGCCCTGGGCCTCCGCTGAACCCTGGGTGCCCAGGATTGGGGGCGCTGCAGTGGTAGCACTTCGCCTTGGCCCCGCGTTTCCAGGCACAACAGGAGCGGCATCCCCAGCCCGCCATGGCGACGTCGTGTCGGTGAAGGGCCGCCATTGAGCCCCAAGAGTGGCAAAATAATGTCGGGCTCCAAGAGCCCTAGCTCTGCCGCGGAATAGCGGTGTCCGCGTCTGCCAATGCGGGCTCAGCCCGCCAAGCATCAGCCTTGAGCCAAAATGGCTACGGAGGAGGAGGAGGAGGAGGAGGAGGAGGAGGAGGAGG